GGAAAATTAAATTTTACTAAACATATGGACTGTAAAGCTTCTTTATTTGTTTGTTTCTTTCTTTCATGTTAGCTTGATAAATTAATCTCAAACTGCAAAAGTAACTCCATTCAGGGAGGTGATCAGGATCCAAACATGAATCTAGAAAATTAAGCTATAAGCTTAAAAGTGAGCATGCATTTGCAGTGAGCAGAATTGAATCCCAAATACTTTATGTCAGTGAGAAAACACAGTCAGTTCTATGGAAATAAGAAAATTCTATCTATACCAGGAAAAAATGTCTCTTAAATTACCATAGAAATGAAATATTAAAATATGGAAATGAGTGAGATTTCAAGAGTTTGTGTCTTAGCAACACAAGGTAAAATCTTTATTGATATGTTGTTCAGTTTTTTAATTCGTCTACTGCATACTTTAGTGTGCTCCAAAATGTGCTTTCTCCATAATGACCTTCTCCATAGTGACTGACAGCTTCATGAGAGATAATCATTGTGCTACTTTCTACGGCAAAATTCTCACTGTTTTCATCAAGATCAAAAAATTTGGAAACAACTTTATTGCAAATATTGAACAAGTTAATTTTGCATTGCAGAACTTTAAACAGTACGGGACTGCTCTTCTTGAGAGGTTGACTCAACAATTACCTAAACACTGATTTTTTATACTATTTAAATGTATTACATAAAATTGATAGCAAAATAAATAATTTAGGGTGCTGCTGTAAACATTTAATGCTCTTATTCAGACAACATTTTACACTATGGAATCACTCTGCTTCAAAACCTTTCTTGTAAGTTGATTAGAAACTACTAGAATTTTAGAAATTAATATTTGTGAGAAAGGATATTTGATATCATATTGCTGTTTTGTCCTTTGAAAACCTGCATAACCATACATTCAACAAAATCCTTCACTCTAGACATGAAAAATTAACTTTATGGTTTATTTTAATTACAATTTGAAATTGTGTGTCTACTTCCTGTTTTGGATCAATCTGGTTCCAGCTCCCTTGCATTTTATTTTTATTACATCCTTTATCATAACCATTTCAGGTCCAGCCTCCTCTTCTAAGCTTTACCATTGCCATCACCAGACTGGGTCACACACAGCTTTGTCAAGGCATATTTTGAAAACCTTCAAGGACAGATACTTCACCTCTTTTTGGGTTACATATTCTGATGATATATCACCAGTGCTCTAAAAACTCATTATTAGTGCTCAGTCCAAACCTCCCATGCCATCATGTGTAGCTATGGACACTAACCAGATCATTTAGCACTATAAAGAGTTTAGTACTGTAATCTTTGCAAGTGATTTCCCAGTAGTTGTAGCCTCCTGGAAACTCCTTAGTTTATTTTTCATGTTAAATTAGCCTAATTCTTTCAGCTTCTCACAGTTTATTTATTGTAGTCCCCTGACCTTATTGAGCAGCGTTTATGGACCTTTTCCAATTTTCTAACACCTTTCCTGAATTGAGTGGGTGTGAATTGGGAAAGCTAGACACAAAATTGCAGGTACAGCTACAGTCATGCCAAATAAAGGGGATTAAAAATGCTTTGATCTGCTGGCTACATTTCTCCTAAGGTTTCTTTATTTGTGATGCAAGTGCACAGTTGGCTGGTGCTCAAGGTAGTGCTTCCCATAACATTCAGGTCCTTGCTACTAGAGCTGCTGCTCAGCCTGAATGGATGTATGGGGATTTTTTAGGTGCAGGATTTTGCACTCAAGAGTTTCTTTGGAGTAACTTCCGTTTTCTTTCTGGGCAATAGTTAACACTGGCTATAGTTTACTTTTGAGGTGGCTATATTTCTTAAGGAAATAATTGGCATAAGACACAAAACAGGTGAATTAGGTTTTAATTTAAGGTTCTATTTAATATGACTTTCTGAAAAGCACTGTGGAAGTACAAAAATTAATTTAAAGCATGTCTTTCTCATAGCTTGTTCTAGTGGCAAAACAACTCAGTCCTCCTGTTCTTGTATTTAAATTTTTACAGATCTCAAATAATACAGATTTTCACAAGGCTAGATGTATTATGATGAAGCAAACCCAAATCTTATTTCCTTATCTCTTCTGACAAAGACTATCTCATGAAAAAGGATGTATATCACAGAGAATTAATCTCACTGTCAAAACTAAAAACCTAAAATTTAAGTAAAAACTCAATAAGATCAACCTTAAGCTTTTAAGTCATGGTATTGGTTCTGTTGATTGTCAAGATAGAAGATTTTAATCTGGTTCTGTTTGATCCTGATCTCTCCATCTTTCATCCATTTTAGAAAAGATTTATAAAAACTTACAGATAAATGTGAGACATAGCATAATATAACTAAATATTTCAAAAGAGAGTATTCATTAGACAGTACTTATGAGGATAGATTTTTATTTCAATGAATTTCAGAGCAAATGTAGCCTGTGCATAGGAAGCCTAAGAATGTATGCATTTCCTACATATCTTAGCCATCAATTCTTAATTGTTCTGTTATCTGCACTCTAAAAAGATCTTCAAACTCTCCTTATTTCCTTATCTCCTATATCCTACCAAAGAACTATCTTTCAAGATCCTCATAAGATCATATTTTCCAATTATCAAGTTTAGTCAGTTGATAGTGTGAAGGATTTAATTTAAAAACTATTTCTGTAGAGGTAGTTTTTCTTCTCATTGCAGATCTTAATCCCAGCTGTCTTATCTGTAGTTTCATGCATACATATCACCTACTGTTAGAAACAGAGCTTTATAATTATAATATATATAATTTATGATTTTCTAGTTCAGAATTTAATCCCTGCACAGAGTTTCTGAGCACTGCCTTACCCTGGCATTCTCTTCCCATCATTTTGTGTATTATTAGTGTCAGTGAAATCTGCTTGAATTCAGGAATTCTGTAAGTCCTTGTGTAGAATTCTGGACCAGAAATTAAAAGGATGGCCCTAAATACAAGGCAGTTGACAGCCTCTTTTCCAAGAGCAAGATAATCTCTTTCATCTTTAATTTTATTTATGAGCCCCTCTTCTTCCCCTGTGCATTTTGTAATTATTATCATTGGAGAGCCAGTAATGGCCCTCATTTGATTTGTGCTGGTAAGAGAAGAAGCATAATGTATACTGCTCTTCTGCTGGAAGAACTACATTTGCTTTTTGCAGATTGCATATGTTTATTAACTACTAAGCTTATAGGATTTTTTTTTATACTCTTTTTTTTTCTGGCTGACTTTCAGGGTATAGATTTGGTTTTAATCTCTATGAATCTACTCTGATGTCTACATTAAAGCTGGAAAATTAACAACAAATATTTTATTCTACCTATTTTTTTAGCTTGCTTTTAGTTTGCCAGAACTTGTTGATCAACAAGAGTCAGCTGACTAACTTATTCTGCCATGCAACATCTATAGTGCTGTATCTCAGTAGGAAAAAACTGTTCTCAGCAGCATTTCTAAAATTACAAGAGTTTAGAGGAATGCCTCATCTATTACCTTCAGTGTGCAGGCAGCCAAGGGAGAACAAAAAACGAGTAAGATACACACCACTATAACTTCTGCATCTTTTCTGAAACAAACCTTCTGCAAATGTTGCATACCAACCTGAAATGTGGTCAGCCATCCTGAAGAGGTAAGTTTATTTTTTCCCCTGATGATACCAATTGGATGTGTCAGCTGCATGTTATGTAAGAGCAGTATCTGTTATACTCTAAAAAAAAGTGCTGGGGAATACCTCACCAGCTTGGATGCAATTTTTATTTTGCCTACCTTTTTACAAGAGCCCATGCATGGATCTATTAGTTTATATGGTTGTTTAATATGTTTTCATATTGGAAAAACATTCTTACCCGAAAATAAAAAGCATGTATCCTTCTTGGTTGCTTAACTACACTGATATAGACAAAGTAGTAGAACTTTATAGTACAGATTGGCCTGTAGTGAGGGGTGGCAATAATGTAATTTTTTTAGCACATGGTATATGACAAGCCCCTTTACTGTCAGAGGAAATCTGACAGCACACAAATGGAGCCACAAACTTTGAAGGAATGCTGCACTAACCTGGGCTAGTTAGGTGATTGAATTAACTTCTGATGAGCAAATAATGTTTGTAATCCTAAATGGAGAAGAGGGAATAGATACTGCTAAATCCGGGCTAGAATATTTGACTGAATCAATTTAGGAGGACAAAAGCCCCCAGATTATTGTGGTAGAAAAAAAAAAATTAAAAATTAAACACAAAACATTCTACAGGAATTGAATGGTGCGATCATAAAACTTATTCAGAATCCAGAGAGAATAATGTGAGCAGAGATCAACAAAGAAAGAAATAAAAACCTTTTAAATTTGAATCTTCTGTTGTCTGGAATGAGCCACTTGGCATACACTATAGGAAAAGGGGAAATTATAACACAAATAGCATAGAAATGGTACCACTTCAGGCTTGAACGTGCAATTCAGTATCTTCTTGTAAAAAATTATCTGCAGTAAGGTTGAGAGTCCAAGTTTTATAAAATACATAGAAATTAAAAAAGTTGGTGATGTAGCTTAGGGACATGGTGTGAGGATGGGGACAGAGGCGATGTAATACGATGGAGGCGATGTAATACGAACTTAACTTACAGCGCTGATATTTAAATGCAGCTGTTACTGCGTGAAGGAGGTGCAATTTTTACCTACAATTTCCACCTCAATAGGAAGCCTGATATCTTCTGAAGGGAGAGAAGGAAGGCACTAGGAATAACAGCCGAGATAACAGGGCAGGGGCAGGCGCTCCTCCTCAGCGGGGTCCACACAGACTTCCCCACCGATTTCTCCGGGCACAATTCCCTTATCCCGGCTCGGCGGGCGGAGGGACAGCCACGGGCTCGGCGGCCGCCCCTCAGCGCCCCGGGCCCGGCGTTCCCGCCCGTCCCCACCCCGCCCGGCGCTGCCGGCGCCATTCCCTCAGCCTCCGCTGCGCGGCAGGCCGGGCCGGGCCGCACCGCTGCCTTCCCGCCCCCTGCCGCCGCAGCCGGCGGCCTGGCAGCTGCGAGGCTGCTCTCCTCCAGGATGGTTCACCATTCAGGCTCCATCCAGTCCTTTCGCCAGCAGAAAGGTCAGTACGAACCCCGCCGTGCCCACGGCGGGAGGCCCCCCGG